GCTGTATCCTCCCCCTCGCCTTCAGCATCCTCTTCATCTTCATCTTCATCACCACCGTTCTCGTCAGCAGATGATCGCCTCCTTAACACAGCAGGCTCCTCATCAGACTCGTCGTTCACCTCCCGTCTTCTCGCTGCTTCGTTCTGGATTTGAGCTCCGGCATCGTCATCGTGATCCGAGCCTCCACCGTCCGAGAGATCAGCCTGGATAGGATTGAAGTCATCTTCATCCTCGCTGTCATCGAATCGTGTATTGGATAGATTTGACATTTTACTGGTGTGAAGGAATGAGAAATGAAGGAGAGGTGATGGTTCTCTTGTACGGGAAGGTTTGAGGAATCCAGGCAGCAGCTTCGAATTAAGCTAGACAGTGCGGTAGATCATCTCCCAATGAACAAAGTACTCGGGGACGTTGTGCGGCGAGATGTTGTTGTTAAAAGTAGCTTGAGGCTCCCTTGCTGTCGCTTTTGAAATCGAAATGGCGCTAGGACCCTTGCTCGGCCGCTTCGCGCTACTGTAAGCAGTTGGTGTGTATTGTATGGGTATAGTTATGGGTATTATTTCAAAGGCATGAATTCCCTCGAGTTCTCATACCTTTGAAGAACATCTTCTCGAGATCTCGGAAGACTCTAGTATCCGAATCTCATTCTTACCAAGTTAGATAACCGCCTAGCCTTGACTAAGAATATTGAAACTCTTTGCCTCATTTTGCGTCCACCACGAGCGGGGAATCTTATTATTCTTCTATAATACTATTTGCAGGTACCAATTCTTTCAATGAAGGCAATCCGAATAGACGAATTTGTCAAGGTGAGCGTCATAGTTTCACGGAGACCTGCAGCTTATTCAATTTATAGGATCTTGATGATATCAAGGTAACCGAGGTTCCACAGCCTCATGCCAAGGATGGCGAAGTGATTGTTCAAATCGCCGCAGCCGGTGTGAACTTTGTAGACATACTATATGTAAGAAACGCTCCTAGTTCGTGTTGCACTTGTGGTATTTCCTTTGCTTTTTTCCTCCAAAATCTTTGAGAGCCCGAATGCTTCGAGGTAGGCTTAGGAAATCGAATGTTTTGCGTTTCGCTTACGCCATAGGTCAACAATGATATATGGTTGGTGTTTCTTGCTGTGGAACCTTGATTCTAACCTCAATAAGAGCCGATTTCACTACATCCTCTCTACGATCGTTTTGTTCCGTGAGACCAATTTCTCACATTTCAGCAGGCACGAGGCAAGCATCAAAATAATCGGTCTCTAGTCAGGCCACCGTTCATTCTCGGTCTCGAATTTGCTGGGATAGTTGTATCTGTCCCTATTAATTCTAGATACTCACCTGGGGATCGAGTATTTGGAGCTTATCTTGGATCATACACCGAGCACATCGCTATCAGGGAAGCCTCGCTCCACAATCTACCCAAAAATTGGGAGTTCAAGGATGCTGCCGGTCTAGCAGCAACTGCTCCTGTCAGTTACGGCGCCTTGATCACTGGCGGAAAATTGCAGAGAGGCGAGACAGTCCTGATACATGCAGCAGCCGGAGGACTGGGTGTCATGGCTGTCCAGATAGCCAAAGCTGCTGGAGCAAGAGTGATTGCTACGACCGGCTCGCAAGCTAAACTCAATGTAGCCAAAAGTTTCGGTGCAGACGTGTGTCTTGATTATGAAAGCAAATCTGCATGGTGGAAAGAAGTGCTCAAACTCACCAATGGTAGCGGTGTGGATGTTGTATATGATCCGGTGGGGCTCGTTGATAAAAGCCTGAAATGTTTGAAGCACAAAGGCCGCATTCTTGTTGTTGGTTTTGCAGGGACCGAAAGAAACATCGAGAGAATTGCAACAAACAGAATTCTCTTGAGACAAGCTCAGATAATTGGCTACGTAAGTCAGAATGCTACTAGCTGTCACCGTCTAACCTCTACTTAGCGGTTTGGCATGACAGATCGAATTGATCCAGCAGAGACGGCCGAAATCTGGAGAGGGCTGGAAGCCATGTGGGAAAGTGGCTTGCTCAAACCCACGGTGTATGACCGCGTTTATAGAGGATTGGAAAGCGTAGTAAGCGCGATGAAGGACCTTCGCGACCGGAAGGTTTGGGGCAAAGCAGTTGTGCTGCTAGAGTCCAGCCACCAAGCATCACGATTATAAACAATAAAGTTAGGTCAGAACACTTCTAGTCTAATACTCCGGCACCCCATCAAGAGGTCAACGCTTTTCCATGTATAATACAACGGCCGCTATGAGCAACATCAATCCCACCCCAAATGCCTGGATATTGATGCCGCCTTGAGAATTCGACCCAAACGCCTGGCTTGAAAATGCGGATATCATTTCGTCTATGATCTTCTTGAACATAATAACATTCATCAAAGTTTAACGCCCCAGATTCCCCGACCTCCACTCACTCCAACCCAATCCCCACCGTCGTTGTTCAACGCACTGTGGGGTGCCCAGCTGATGTTTCCGACTTCATAATCGCATTGCCAACTTGCAGTTGGACCTCGAGTATTGTCTAATGCAGGAGCGCCATTGATTACCGAGCTTTGTGGAGTCAGTGCAGTGCCTTGGCTCAGTAAGTCCCAAATCAGAACCAGCGAGTCATCAGCACCAGATGCCAGAGTCCCTCTTCGTGCAGGTGACCACTCTATGCAATTGATTGATGATGCATGACCTCGGAGCTCGAGTAAGGCTTGCCCCGGTTGTCGTACATCAAGAATCCGAATCAGATTAGAGTCTTGTGAGAATGTTGCGAGGAGGTGAGTATCGTGAGGTGATGCAGCGAGCCTCAGCAGAGGAGGAGCATATGACATTGTCTGCTGTGCTAAGGTTGGACTAATCCTACCGCCACCTGGACTGGCATCTTGGAAAGAGTTAGCAGTTGAGAGCTGGGAGATGGAGTGCGGAAGTACCTTTATCATCCTTGGCGGTAGGCTCGTAAATGATTGTACTGTGCTCTAGACTTCGTAGGTCGAACATTCGAACACTGCCATCAGCACCACAACTGACAAATACATCAACACTGTTAGCACAAAATCTCACATCAAAGACTTCTTTATCATGTGCAATCAGTTGTGTTTTTGCAGTTAATGTTGGTATGTCCCATATCGTACAGGTAGTGTCGATGCTTGACGTAATAATGAGACTGGGCGAGACCGTATTCCAGTCCAGCGAAGTCAAAGGAGCTGTATGTTCTGGAGTCTTCGAGTTCGAGAGGAGGGCTAGTGGTGTAAGTTTGCTCGCTGGTTGGTCTCTTCCATGATTTGCGGAACGTGTGATGGAATTCCCGGGAGATGCTATGGGCGTTTCTGAGGGTAAAGACCAGAGTCTGAGATGGTCTCCTGAGGTAGCTAATAAATCCGTTGATTGCTTCTGCGATGATGGGGGTTCCCACAAGAGGCGGGTGACGGGGTATGAGTGGGTAGCTTCCGCAATCTTGATAAATTCCAACCCATATTTTGGAGCTCCAGGTGTATATGATTCGGACGGTGTGGGGGTAATTTGTGAATCTAAGATTTGAATCTGACAAGAGAATGAGTATTTATCCTCGAAACATTTTTAGAAGTGACCAGTGGTGAACCTACGAAATTATGTCCGTCTTCTAGGTAGCTTCCAACAGCCACCTTTCCTGCATCATGATTCTGTGCCGGCCACTTACACCAATCAAACGCATATATAGCCCATGGTGCAAGATAGTTGCTGTTGGTGGGGACTGCGTTGGCGCCGTCGTATGAGTATGGATTTGCCCCTGGCAATCCATCTGAGAGACCCGAGTCGGCGCGGGGTCGAATATCTGCCAGCCCAAGCGGTGTATTTGAAACTGCCCGTTGTGCGCTTTGGGGAGTGTATTTTTGTGTTGTAGGAGAAGTAAAGTGTCCTTGGTCAGTTCCTCCTGGTGTTGTTGGTGTGAAAGGCGTGTACCCTTGACCATCGAAGCCGGCCGCTGGACTCGAGCGGGTATAGTTGTGCGAGAGACCTAAAGCTGATGATCTTGACGGGGATGAATACTGTTCTTGTGCCATAGTTTGAGGCATGGTTGGCACATTGGGCGCTGTGTTGGCTGTAATCGGGCCTGGCCTGCCAGGTTGCAAAGACCCCGGGAGCCCCGCGCTTGTATACTGAGATGATTCAGAACCTGCTTGCTCAAGGCTGATACGAGGACCTGCTGGTGTATAATCTCTTGGAGACAGACCGCCCCGTTGAGAAGCCATGTTCGTTGCGCCGCTCAGATGGAGCTCATCAGGGTGCCGGCTGCGTCTTTGGTTCTCGTATTGCTGTGACTGGCTCATGTCTCCGTTCGAGGAGTGCGCGGCGACCGGAGGATTGACGTGCTGGGGAGCATAGACAGAGGTTCGCGCAGACTGCTGTCCCCCCGAGTTGGTGTGCGAGGAGGTTGCACGGGAGGGGTCGAGCCTATCTGTACCAGCGGTCGTTCTTGCAGACAAGACGTTGTTGAGATTGCCTACAGGGGCGCCGATGGAACCTTGAGCTGCTTGCAGGATACCAGGAAAAGCTCCGAGAATCTGCTGCTCATGTTGCGAAGAGGACGATGTGTGCGAGTGGAAACCGAAAGGCATAATCAACCATGCACTTCCTTTCCATACAGTAGGATGCACGTGTGGTTGGTCAGAATTACGGTACAGTAGCTCTGCCAGCTCGCTACGGTTGACACCCCTTGCCTAAATTAAATAATTACCACAAATATTACCGACGCCTTGTGTTTGTTCAATTATTCTCGACCGCCCAGCCAAAGAGGAAGAATAAACAGAGCGCACCGGGATACATCTTCCTTTCTAACTCATATCCTTCACGGTTAAATACTACTTTAGAAAGTCGGAGAGCTCGTTTTACTAGCGAGAGAAAATAATACGTAAGGTACTTCCGTACGGAAGTACTTAAGGCGGCTCTCAGATATTCGCTTAAAAAAGTCCAAACAAAAGTTGGCAACCTTGAATGTGATTGTGCAAAAGCACAAAAAGGGAGCAAAAAAATGATGGGATGCTTTTGAACGATGCAAGGATCGAACTTGCGACCTGCTGCGATATGGACATTTTGCAATGCAATGTAAAGCAGACGTGATAACCACTACACCAATCGTCCAGGGGAGAAAACTCCTGGGCCCATGACTAGTCGAAAAAATTTCTTATATTAGACTATTAAACCCAACGCAGTTTAATGGAATTAGTTCCGCTCCTGTGCTTTTAATTCGCTCCGTACCTAGGCCTGACTCCTCTAAGAAAAAATGAAAGACGAAGCTGTATACACCTTAAGGTTTTAGGTACTACTCGTATGTTGCTACCGCCTTGTCTAAATATCATCGGAATAGGGATCCAAGTGTCACATAAAATCCCCCCGCACCCCCAAATTTTAATATCCGCATTTAACCAAAGGGCATTTGAAATTCAGTTTATCGCTTTCAGTGGCTCTGAGACTGTTTTCTGCATATTGACTTCTTCATCAGACGAATTGCACGCTTTCCTATCAAAAACATTTCCCAACCAAATACTCCTCTTTCACCTATCCCTTCTGCCTATATTATTATACACCATACACATAGAGCCCCAACTTTTCAGGCACAGGAACCAAATAAGTACTGGTGGTAGTGGGAAACGAGTACACTAGCCAGACAGAAATTCTTGGCATCTCGCATCTTTAATTTACAATTTATCTTTGGGACTGGCACCGCGTTTTCGTGATGTGATACTTGCCGAAATTTTGCTACTGACGAGTGCTACTGACGATTTGCACTGATATAAAACGCAAACCCAAGTATCATATTCATTCGCGTAAACTAGCTTGCGAACTGCTTAATAAAGCTTGCGAACTCACCAAGCGAGACTTAGGATTCTCAGCGAAAGAAATACTTATATAAAATCCTAATCATAAATATGATTCTTATGAAATGTTTCTGTCAGTCCCAACGGCTCAGAGATTTGCTGTGGAGAATATAGCATGAGACCTGAGGGCTTCGCCCTGACGAGAATCATACATCCTCCGTAGGCAGTGTTGAAGATTGAGAAGACAGAACTGAGGGCATGGAGGGCTTATTGCAGCTAGAAATCTAGGAATCTAGGGCTTTGACGGTGACCGCTGCTCGTGGTGAAGCACATGGACCTGTGTAGTGTGTCACAGGAATCCTCAGGAAATCAGCAGAAATGAAACACTTCCTTGGAACGTGGCCGGGCATAGACAAGGAAGTAACGAGGTGAACAATAGAGAGCTTTAACTTGACCTTGCACAACTTTAACTTTGAATTCTTTTGTTCAGGTTTGGTATCGATTGCGAGATTGCCTCATGAGCGATCCGTAAATATACATTCTATATTCTATAGTTGATACATAAAGCATTTGCCCTCTTGTTACATTTCATCACCGCTCGTCTCATCTTGAAACACTTCCTTCACTAGCTGCTTCTTATTAACTGATCAAGTCAGCATTCTTCCCAAAGAAAGAGAACAGAAGGAAATCAAGAATATAAATACGACTTACTTTTCCCCATAGCATTTCTCGGAATATGTTCTACCACTTTCATGACTTGCGGGATCTTATATGCTGCCAATCGGTCTTTCAAAGCTCTTCTCATATCCATCGCGCTCCATCTCCCCCTCTTCCCCTCCTCACCACTGCCCTTCAAAATAACTACCGCACCGACCTTCTGCCCCCATTTTCCAGATGGGACCGCTACAACGGCTGCTTCGGCTATTTGAGGAAGAGAAAGAAGTTCTCGCTCAACCTCAAGTGCGGAAACTTTCTCCCCGCCCGATTTAATGATATCAGCCGAAAGCCGGCCGCGGATGAAGTACATTGGTCCTTGATCCCATCTCTTCGTATGACCATTGATTCCATTGGCCGCACCATTCTGCTCTGGAAGAGGAACAATTCGACGAACAGCAACGTCACCCGTCTTGAACCACGGGCCATTCCCGTCCTCACCCTCAACACGTTCCTTTTTCGTTGCCGCCGAGTTTCTCCAGTACTCCTTAAAGATATTATTGCCTCTTAGTTGGATCTCGCCGTCTCTTTCTCGACCTTTTGAGTCGAGCTCTTCTCCTTCTTTGATCACCTCACCGGTCTCGGTATCAACTAAACGGACTTCCACACCCGGTAAAGGCCACCCGACGGACCCGTCAATACGGGAGGAAAATGGCAGACCGCAAGAGAGTGCCATGCCAACTTCGGTCATGCCGTAGCGCTCTAATAGTACATTGCCCGAGGATAGTGTGTTCCATGCCTTTTTCGTTGGCGTCGGCAGTGCGGCCGAGCCAGAAATGTTGAGTCTAAGGTGTCGCGGTGATATTGCGGTCCTGGCGGCTGTTTGATATTCAGATGTGAGATCGGTGAATGTTGTGAGTAGTCGGTTGTATACTGTTGGGACGACGGTGAAGAATGTTATCGGTGAGGGGAGAGAACTAGGTGGATTTGGAAGGAAGGGAGCTGCGAAACGATGCCAGACAGATTGGGCATTGAAAGGGAAAAGGAATTCCACTGTGGAGCCTGCAAAAATGGGGGCGAGGATGGCATTGATAGTGCCATGAATATGGTGAAGTGGGAGCACATGTAACAGGTAGTCCGCCGAGGAGTATTTCCAGGCTTTAACGAGAGATTGGGCTTGTGCAGTCATCACGGTTTGTGGAAGAAGAACTCCTTTCTAGAGTCTGTTAGCGAGCTGGAAATGGTGATGTGTCACAGCAGTACCTACCGGACGGTTAGTTGTCCCAGAAGTATATAACATCATCCCGCCCTCCCCATCTGCAGGCCCCTCCAGAGTGACCTTCTTATATGACAGACCACCCATCCTCTTCTCTAACTTGACATGCTTGGGTGGCATCTCCAAGACCTGCTCCATGAGCTCCAACGCCTTTCGCTCAAACTTTTTGGAGGATAGTAGCATTGAAGCCTGGCTATGATCCATAATATATTGCAATTCGTTTGCCGGAAATGCAGGGGAAAGAGGCAACGCAATCGCATGCGTGCCAAGAATAGAAAGTAAAGTCACTAGATTTTGTCAAATGTGGTCTAACAAAATATGGAAGTAAGTAATTCTGCGCACCTACATAGTCATAGCTATTTTCCACAAGAAATGCTATCCTCTCCCCGACTATCTTGCCCCCTCCTTCCTTCAGCAACCTCTCCTTCCCGTCGACGACATCTCTCATCAATTCCCCATACGTGAACTTTCGTCCTGATACGGAATGAACCACGACAGTAGATCTTGGATCGTGTCCTGCGAGGGCCTCGAAAATGGGTAATCGAGGTAAGGTCGACGCCATTCTGATCGATAAAGACTGGATAGCAAAGTGTCTCTGCCTTCTACGACAATATTGAGTAGGGAATGTTGCTATTCGAGGGAAGTGGGAGGAAATTCTCCTTGTGCAGCACTGCATTGCGGCAGGAAAGATTACCGGCGAGGATAACCTCTAATATGGCATGGCGAACAAAACAACGTAAGACTGGCGGGACAGGGGTTGCTTCTTTACCCACCGATGGGCGCTGTACGGCATTATTTTTTGGGGGTTGGAGTTGCTGGAGCGGGCGTTGACGTCCGTCAAGGGGGTTTTCGGCCATAAAAAAATTGCCTCGCCCGCTCGCCGTTGCCGAGATAGATCTCAACGATCTTTATCCACCATCAGCTGCAGGAACGGCCCGGAGTGGATATCTTTTGTTCCGATGGTTAACATCATCCGAGCTACATATCTGACTTCACCGTAGTACGAAAACTGATCTGGAGAGGGAGAGGATAGGTTTCAATGCTGCGAAGATCACTGCTGTCCTTCGCAAGGCGACCTCTCTCGACGATGGCCTCGCAAACGCCAATGGAAGACACCATGCGTGCGAAGGTATTTCTTCCCCCTTCTTGAAATTACATACTTGTAAGTAACTCATGTAAAAACAGATCATCGAAACCCTCAAACCCTCGACCCTCGAGATTCACAACGATTCGCACCTGCACTCCCATCACAAAGCCATGGCAGGCTCTACCTCGCAAGAAACCCACTTCAGGGTCGTCATTACCAGCGAGGCTTTCAAGAATAAGATGCAACCAGCACGGCATCGGATGGTTTATGCGTTGCTAAAAGAGGAAATGGCGAGGGAGGGAGGTATTCATGCGTTACAGTTGAGAACAAGAACTCTGGAAGAAGAAACAAAACAAGCAGAATGAGAAGCAGCGGAGAAGGGACAAGTGGTTGACACGAAGGTCGATGCTGCGTAGGTCGAATATGAGTGCTTACGGTTACAAATATCCGGGCTGCACTACGGGGATACTGGTCTGGAGTTGAAGAACCTGGTGGAAGGAGTTTGTACAGTACGACTGTTCTTTGGACTGTATTGGTTGAAAATGACTAATTTTCTACGCCGAGAACCTGTACAAAGTACTTGGTTTGGCATCACTGTACATCACAAGAATTACGATGACCACGAGAAGCGTTTAGAGCAGTTTCATTAGGCATTGAGGGGTATATCATGAACAAAATATTCGGGAGCTTAGGGACCTCTTCAATTCACTAACTCCCCGTTTCTTCACCCCGAATCGCATAATACTCTATACACTTATACAGAATTTCAGCCTCAAGCATCCCATCCCTGTGTCTCCGGCTCAAGTTGCCCAACCGGTTTAGACGCGCTATTGACAAGCTTCGTGCAGAATCTCTTTCCAGGAGTGGTTTGGGTAATGGACCCGTTTCTTTTTCTTCGAGCCAGAAATTCTTGTAACATGGGCCTTCCTGGGGTCAATGTTGCTGGCTTGAGAGATTGCTTTGGCAGGTTTGACCGGGAAAATGAGCTACTTGAAGCTGGCAGCGAACGTCGTTTGAAAACTTCTAAGTCTCGGGATGGGGCTTCCGAAGAATTCGTTTCGACACGTTTCATGGGTCTCGAGTATTTGCTCCGAGAAGCGGGATCCGGAGATCCTAGCGATATTCGAAGCTGGCTCCTTGAGCCGCTGGCATTGTGTCCGTCCCCGGACGACGGCCGACCACGACTCTTCTGTACGGAAACTGTTGGGGTCGAAGTCTTGCCTTCCAATGTAGGAGTAGAGATGATCGAGCTTCCCAAAGAGTCTTCATTATCCCAAGGAAGAACCCTGCTGCCACCGCTCTTGCG